GTTCCCCAACCCCTGGTCTATGGACGAGCACTGGTCTGCAGCAAGCCACAAAAAATTAAAGTCCCATCCATGAGATGCCGACAGCATGTGAAACTATGGTCCCTTCCAGTCCAGAGAAAAACCTCTCTCTACAGAACCAGTCCCTGGTGTTCAATAGGTTGAGGTCCACTGTCATAGATGACTGAAGGCTGAATGGGGAGGGAGGTAAAACACTGTTTGTGTATCTATTTAGAAGTATGTATTTCAATTCTCTGTAGGAAGATAACTAACTGCTTTATCCTGCCCTAAAGGCTTTTGCCCTTATGATGGCCACAGAGGTAGTTTAACTATTGAGGAGGAAACAGATTCATAAAAACCACCTCTAATTGCCTGATAACCCCTATTCGAGGTGAAAAAGCCAGAAAAATGTAAGTTTTTAAGGATGTGACAATGTGATCTGATCATTTCCAACAATTCAAGAAACACTATAAACAAAATTATGGTGCCTTCCTTGGAAGTTTGTGATCCTAGGTTATTTACTTTATTTAAGACTTTCTACAGTATTAAAATCTAATAAACAATAAGCACTGATTATGATGCTCCCTAGTTAGATATTTAAACATCTGCAAGCAAACAACCAAGCTCAGAGAGCACTAAGGATTCCACAGTTCAACCCTGAGCTACAAATATTCTTTTCTGTTATGGAGTCTAATATTTAGCAAGTGTAGTGTAGTTGTTATGGTCTAGTAGTACTATAGGTAGTCCTTAACTTATGACTAAAATTTCTGTTGCTAACTTAATTGAGTTTTACCCTATTTTACCCACCTTTCTTGCCATGGTTAAGTGTTCACTGCAGTTGGTACGTTAATAACACAAGTGAATCTGGCTTCCCCATTAACTTTCCTTGTCAGAAGGTTGCAAAAGGTGATCACGTGACCCAGGAATGTGTCATAAATACCAGTTGCCAAGCATCTTAATTTTGATCATGTGACTATGGGGATGCTGCAATGTGTTATAAGTGTGAAAAACAGGTATAAGTCACTTTTTTCAGTGCTATTATAACTTTGGTCACTAAATGAAGACAAGGACTGCCTGTAAAAGACTGGGATTCAATTTCACTTTCAGCTATAGAAACCCCTTGGCTGATTTGGGGTGAATCGTTCTCTCTCAGCTCAGCCTACTTGACAAACAGGGGTGGGATTCTACCAGTTCGCACCTATTCACTAGAACTGGTTGTTAATATTCTAAGCAGTTCGGAGAACTGGTTGTTAGAAGAAATTACTGGCTTAATCCTGTAAAGAAGGCAGGAAGGAAACTTTCTGGTGTTGCTTCCAGAAACTGCCTCTCTGTTAACCCTTATTACATCCTTGGCAGGACTAGACTTCCTGTCTCAGGAACTTCTCTGGAGTTTTTTTTTTCTCTCCTTTGCTGGTACTTTGCTTCTGTGGAGTGACCATTCAAAGTTACAATGGCACTGAAAAAAGTGACTTATGATCATTTTTCACACTTAAGACTGTTGCAGCATCCCCACAGTCATGAGAGGCCAGGCGAGGAGATGCGTGCCTCGATGTGAATGATATTGAGTTGGCCATGCCCAGCCAATAACATGACCATCAAGCCATATCCACCCAGTCACATGACCATCAACTAAGCCACACCCACAGAACTGGTTGTTAAAAAATTTGAATCCCACCCCTGCTCATAAAGTTACTGTTTGAGGGAAAAGCTGGAGGAGAGTTGTAAACAAATCCCTCCTTATGTTTTGCAAGTATAGGAATTGCTTTATTTTTTTTATTATCTTCAGTCAGTCTTGACTCCAGGCAATTAAATGAATAGATGTATGTAGTTTTCTTGGCAATATTTTTGGAAGTAGTACTTAGAACTGAGAAGAATAATGGCCCCAAATTCCCCAGCTGGCTTCATGCCTAAGGCAAGATAAAACTCACAACCATTGTATCTCAACCTTAGCAGCTTTAAAATGTGTGGACTTCCACTCCTGCAATTCCCCAGCCAGCCAATGCTGGTGTGGGAATTCTCGGAATAAAATCCACATGTTTTAAAAGTTGCTAAGGCTGAGAAACACTGTTTTAGCCACTACTCTCAACTATCTCTCAACAGTAAATTCTTTTCTGAGTCAAGCTTAACTCATGAACATACCCGTGCATTTCTTCTAGCAATACTACAGAATAGTTTGTGATTGTTTTCTTCTGAGATGTTTCCACCCCCCATTTCACTTATATCCCTAACATTCCCTTGAAGTCTTCCATCAAAGTACTAAGCAAGTTTATTCCTGTTATGTTTCTGAGACCAGCTGGCCAGAAGGGGCAGTTACTTTGAACCAATTGTAGAAAATTTATCTCTAGAGCAAAGTGATTTCCCCAATCAGAAAATCGCTGCCCTCAAAAAATAACCCAGTATGTCCTGTTTCTTTTCCCAGAGTTTCTGAAAATTTGTGGGAGTAGTTTAGCTTACAGCTATTTTAATAGATGATTTTTAATTTATACTCTGAATGATTCTGGCAGAAACAAAACAGCAGAAATAAACAGATAATAGCAAGTGCAAAAAAATACACTTATTTCAAAAAGTTTCAAGCTCCAATTTTTCCTCAGTTATGCTTGATTTTTCAAAATATCAGTGTGCTGCAAAATAGGATGCATTTTTAACTCTTTGGGATTTAATATTTCAATCTTATGAATGAAATGAATGGCTGAATTAATTTTAGACTGTTTGATATAGGTTAATGGCCAGGAGTGCAGAGGCTGGGTTCGATTCCACTTTCAGCCACAAAAGTTCACTGGGTGACTTTGGGCAAGGCACTGACTGTCATCCTAATCCATCTGTCAGGGTTGTTGTTGGGAAAAATAGGAGAACATTACCTTAAGAACCTTAAGCATCCCAGTGAATGGCAGAACATAAATCTACTAAATAATTTGAGCCATTACTGTAACACTTTTCCCAAACTAATTCATTGTGGGGATAAATGGGAAGATTTAAGGAAAAGTGCACCATCTTGAATTCCTGCAGGAAAGGTGGGGTATAAGCATCATCCTGTAAACCAATAGGTGGTCTGTATGCTTATGGCCCTGCTTCTGATTGGCTAGTGCTATGTGACTGTACCTTTAAAATGCTGTTGTCCACAGTACAATACATACACAACTAGAATCTGGTGTAGGCATCTTTAGATAAAAGTATAACTGACCTCCATATATCCTGCCCAAAATGCAGGATGTAGGTGAGATCCTAGTTCCATTCCACTTCCTGTAGCACCTCAACTTCACAAGGTCTGTTTTTGACCAAATATTTGCCATCTTTGCATTCAGTTTTTGATTCAGTAAAGATGTCTGCATTTGGATTTTATTGTGATTTTTTTTTAGCCCATTTCTTTAAACTCTCAGAAGCATTATTTCTATCATCTAAGGTTGAGCCTTCCCATCCCCCAATTCTGAATTGCAAGCCAATTTGATAAGCAGTTCCTCCACTTCCATTATCCAGGTCTTTAATAAAAAGATTGGAAAGGACAGGGCCAGGGCTGACTCTTATGGCACTCAATATTGGCAAATACTTTTTGAGTACAACTTCAAGCCATCTGTTTCATTTATTGGTGATACTATCTAGCTGATGTTTAACTGGCTGGTAATTAATATAGTCTATGCAGCATTGATATGCCCTAATGCCTAACTGTTCAGCTGTTCTAGTTCTAATCCTAGTTTTAGACTCTTCTAGATTCTAGTTCTAATTTTAATTCTAGGCTGCATTAAGAGAGGGAAAGTTTCAAAATCCCGTGAAGTGATAGCACCACTTTATACTGCACAGGTGAGATTACCTTTGGAATGCTGCTTTTTGTTCACCACAATACAAAAAGATGTTGGGATTCTATAAAGAATGCAGAGAAGACCATCAAATATGATTAAGGGACCTGGAGGGTAAAATATACAACGAATGGTTGTGAGAACTGGAAATATCTGGTTTCATGAAGAGAAGGACCAGGGTTAACATGATAGCAGTCTTCCAATATTTGAAAGGCTATCACAGAGGGGGTCATCTTAATCTCCAAAGCACTGGAGGAAAAGAAAAAAAGATGGAAGCTTAACAAAGAGAAATCCAACCTAGAATTAAAGAGAAATGTCCTAATAGTAAGAACAATTAATCAGTGAAACAGCTTGCCTCCAGAAATGCTCATCACTAGAGGTTTTTAAGAAGAGGTTGGATAGCCATTTGTCTGGAATGGTACAGGATCTCCTGATTGAGCAGGGTGCTGGATCTCTAAGGTCCCATACAACTATAATTCTGTTCCCTACTGGAAAATGCTACATTTATATTTATTAATCCTTCTTAAACTCCATACACATATGTACAGTACTTTTGGCTTGATAAGATAGGTCTGGAGATCTTTGCCTATATTTTAGGCAAAAAATACCTGGTAGTGAGGGGAGGGTTAGGGTTGAAATTGAAACTCACTTGAAATGAAACTCACATCCCAATTGTCTTTTTCGGACAGCACAAATATTAGGATTGGGATTGGATGGATTTAAATAGAAGCAAAGTCTTGAAGAAGAGAATAAATTACTAAGGAGACAACTGGCAGAGATAAAAACCAAAATGCCTGGGTTAGCTTTACGCATTTGTGCTTAGAAGAGAAGCATCCTACGAATAGAGATAGATAAGGGGCCGCAGGATTTCATCTCGAACAGAGAATTCCTGGCTGGATGCCCAAAAAAATATCATTCCAGAGGGGAAAATATCCTCAAACTTCTGCCAGAATGGGTGTTTGTCTCTTCGCTGGAAGGAGCCACAGCCGGGATACCTTTACTCTACATTCTGGCTTCCTACATTAGGATTCACGGGCGCTTTAGAAAAGATTGCGCATAAACGAAAGGAATTATTTACCCGGGAACCTCTGTAGCCTGAGCCGGTGGGAGAAATCGCTGCGTTTCCGTCAGGACGTTTTTCGCTGTAACACTCACTCCTCCTCTTTCTCCTCCTCCGCCACCCTCCAGCGTTGCCCACCCACCTCTGATCTAGGTAGATCCTCCACCCTTTAGAGAGATCTTCCTTTCCTTCTCCTCGGGGGTCTTCTTCCCTTCTTTCTTTCTTCCGACTTGCTCTTGAGTTCTCCCTACTTTTTCTTTAGGACTGGTCCCTCTCTTCTATGAGACTCTAAGGGAAGCAGATATCCTGTTCTGTATACACCCCCCCCCCATTATTGATTTTGGTGAGTGGGGGAAAGGTAGGTACCATAAATAGAAGGATTCGTACTCTCCCTTTCTCCTCACAAAACCCACATCGGTAGCGCTAATCGGGCTTGGAGATGGAGGTGGCCGATTTAAACTGATATTGGGAGCCCAGTGCTAACTCTACCAAGTCTTTGGGCGAATAATCAGCTTGGATTCATCTGCCAGGATGTTTTGGCATTGCTTGGCACCGGCTGTGCCTGCTGGGTAGGTGCTCCTAATCTTGGATCCTTTCTTAAAACCATCCTTACCTATAACTGTGCTTTGGATAACTTTGCTGCTCTGTGGAATGTTACTTCAGGATTGCTGCCTGCCCCTGTCGAAGATGTCGTTGCTGTCTTTTTCTTTGTGAGCCTTTCAGGCAGGGGTATGTTCTGCCAGGCACATCCTTACGGAGATCTTGGGTTTGTAATGCTCACGGTTTTAATTGGATCACTGCCTGCCACTGCCAGTTGACTTTGTCATCTTGATAGGTGGCCCAAAGACCTCCCTTGTCTCCTGGACATTACAGTGGCATCCTTCTACAGGATGAGAGCCCAAGGTGCATGGTGGCACCAACTGCACCTTGCTGTGAAATTTAGGTGCAGGGATGAGAGTTGAGAACAGAGATATTGGAATACCAACCAAGCAGGGTAAGTTTAGAGCCTGTTTAATTCCATCTACATATGGGTATTACCGTTATTTGGGAGAGAAAGGTGAAGTGCATGGACTTCTGCCAAAACCATTCTGTGGAATTTAATAAGCCAGTCCTCAGGCTACATATGATACCAAGCCTAGAAAAAAAAAAGTTGTTGCAAATGCTAATTGGAGGGATAGCAACTGGCATGTAATATTCAAGGAGGAGAATCATGGTTGTGGAAATTGGCTTGTCCCAAAAATGGGGGATCTAAGATCCATCTATCCTGCAAGTTTTGCTATGTAGCTCTTTACTTCTTCCAATCTGTTCAATCCTCAACTGCCACTGGACATTTCTTCTTTAAAAATTATAAATCAAATACTGAGCTTCCATGTTCAGAAGCAGTTTAACTTTGAACACTAAAGGAAGACTGCTGCTTTTGTGATTTCCTCAGCAAACTTCCCAAAGCATCTGGTTGGCTAAGTTGGAAATGAAAACTGAGAAGAAAATACATAATCACAAATTTAAGAAAATCTGAGCGCTCCACTTTCCAACTGCTGCTTCCAAACAAAAAACCAGGCATCCTTATCAGGAACTCATTGCTATTTCCCTAAAGGTTTTTAAATATTGCTACATGCACCACATTTCAGTAAGTTATTTTTTTTGGAATTTGTGTGAAATGTTGATGTATTAACCAGTATATATTCTTTGAAAACCAGGATAACCTTTTTTCTGCATTTCTTAATCTTTTTCATCCTTTCCTTAGTAATAGAGAGAGGTGGGATTTGTTTTGTTTTATGTTTTACCCTTTGGGTCAGTGTTGATTCCTGGCAACTGCCCTACAGAGACAAATCCCTGCATTTTTCTGGACAGTATTTCAAAATGTCTTGCCAATGCCTGCTTCCTGTGGCTGAGAGAAAGTGACTGGCACAAGTTCACCTGCTAGTTTTGCCCCTAAATTAGGACTAAAACTCATAATCTTTCCATTTCTAGCCTTATGCTTTAACCACTTCACCAAACAGCCTCATAGTAATAGGAGTAGGAGAAGTAGTGGTTTGATTAATTAAGAAATTATAACTTTACAAGTTATAGTATATATAATGTCTCTTGCCTCATTCTGAAGACCAGATTTCCCATATCTGAACCTTGCAAATGCACTGGTTTACGAAGCATATCAGAGCCAAGATAATTATTGGGTTGGCATCTTAGTTAGAATATTGGACTTACTGGGGCTTTGTCCTGACCCATCATTGCTGTTCTTACATTCTTATGTGTTAACGCATCTGGAAGGTGCCAAATTGAAGAAGGCTTGTTGGAATTGATTAATACTCATCATGTTAGCCTGCCCAAGCCTAGTCTATTCAGATCTCTTGTTTTGCATCTCTTCTGTTATAGTTGACATGAAATTTACACATCTGTTATATGGTCCAGATTTTAAAGGGCAAAATCTGACTAAAATGGACAGAGATGATAAGGATTAAGATAATGTTTATTAAATACAGAAAATACATAGGTATTATTTAGAGTTTGATCAGGAGTCTTGATGTTTGTAGTGTTCGTAAATGTTTTGTTCAGCTGTTAGGTGCACAGATTTCCCAGAATTCTGCTGAATAACATTGCTAAGGGAAGTGAAACAAGGCAAGATCAGTTATTTTGCTACCAGCTAAAATAGTTTGCTGCTACACAGAATGCATGTTTCCAGATCTAGTGTGTCCAGTAGGCCTTTAATAATTAAGTATGCATAGGATTGCAGTCTTGCTAGCCCTATCAATTGGGACTGCAAACTTTACATATCACCAAAGAAACAATAGATTGCAGTTTTGTAGCCTAATCCTGTGCTTTTTCATTCAAAGATAAATTGACATTTAAGCTGAGAAAATCAGGTTTTGAAATGTAACACCCAAAATATAAAATGAAATAGCAGAGTTGGATTTATTGCCAAATCAAGTGTTCCTTAGATTGTAATCATAAAGGTATTTAGCTGGAGTAATCTCCCTGAAGAGAATAATATCTACTTCTAACTAGACATGCACAGTCTTGGGATGTTACTGGATTAATGGCTGAAAAGTTTAATTAACAAGGCATAAAACACCATCCAAATTACCCTGCTAAACATCATTAGCAGATTAGGTACTCTTAAACGGCCTGGATTTAAATACAAAAAATGCTAAATACAAATGAAAAATAGTTCTGAAAGCCTCTGTAAGGCAAAATTTATTAATTCTGTATTTAATTCCGCTCTGCCCCAAAGAGAACAATTGAGCAGAATATTTTAAGCTATATATCCTCTGGTGATGACATAACTTGTCATGCCACCATTGACAGCAAGGAAAGAAAATACTCACTTCTGCTCTGAGCCATAACTTGATGCAGTTTTGGTTTGATGAATAAAGTACAATTGGCTGAGATCACCACTCTTAAGCCAAGTCCAAACAATATTATTATGGCTTATTTGTGTGAGATATGTATTCAGTCTGAGAATCTATCCAATCATCATGTAGCATTTTCTTCACCCATTCCAAAATACACCTGTATTAAGATGCTAATTTCATTCACTTAAACTGCTTAATTTTGGATATTTGAATGTCAGCCACAACTGTTCAGCTTGTTGACATGGCTATTTAATTAAAATTTAACAGTTCTACTCTTGAAAAGTTTGGGCTGTTTCTATATGGTTATTTTTTTTAAAAAAAACTTATTAACAAATCATTACATTGCATAAGTTAATTGCTGCAGTTGCTTTTTTTTTTTTACAGACTTGGTACTGTGCCCCAAGGAAATCAGTCATATACTCATACAAAACTCATGGAGCTGCAGAGACATCCCAAATCTATAAGGGATCCTCATAAATTATCAGAAACATTGGATTGCCTGCAAGAATCCAAAAGCAATGTGGGACAGCACATCAAGCTAAACTTGGGAGTTGAGGGAGAGGATGTCCATTCTTCACCTCCTAAACTCTCTCGGCCACCAGCACCTTCTCCTAGCGGCACCCTTGTTCAGAGTTTAAATGGCTTACCAGGAGCAGACAGGCAGGTACATGCTCCAGGTGTGACCACAACAGGCCTCGACCAAGGAGAAACCTCTAGACTAGGGCATTACCTGTTGATTGACAGTCAGGGGCTGCCATACACTGTACTGGTGGAAGAGGGAGTGGGGACAGCAGGGGGCCCTGAAGGAGGTGGGACTGGGGGCACCTTGCGCAAGGTATACAGCTGCCCTGTGTGCTTGCGAACATTCGAGTACCTGTCTTACCTGCAACGCCACAGCATTACTCATTCAGAAAGCAAGCCCCACATCTGTCGAGCATGTGGCAAAGCTTTCAAGCGCACTTCCCACTTGGAGCGCCATAAGTACACCCATTCGGGCCGGAAGCCTCATCAGTGCCCCATCTGTCAGCGCCGTTTCCGTGACTCTGGGGAGCTCTCCCATCACCAGCGGGTGCACACTGGCGAGCGGCCCTACCAGTGTGAAGCGTGCCACATGCGCTTCGGGGAACGCAACACCCTCCAGAGGCATATCCGCCGGAAGCATCGCCTGCAGCTCCTCCCCACACCGTGAAGATTGGTCTTTGTGGCGACTTAATTTGGCCTGAAGACCTATCTAGGAAAGTGTGGTCCAGGCTCTGCTAACTTCCATGCATGCAATGGTAATTCTAGCTTGCTTAAATCTGCCTGGGCTTTTTTGATCCGACATTTCCACATCAGTCAACACAATTGCAACTATTTTGTTCCATAGGAAAAACTGGAGTGGAGAATTTCTACCCAGTGTGCTAAAAATTAGCAGGCATGCTGAAAGCAGCTTGCCAAGATTTGGCATGGACCTCTTCTACTTTCTCTTGCCAATGAGGACCTGGTATGATATTTTATAGATACTAGAGTGTATCATGCCTATATATTCCTCCCCACCCCCCAGTCAGGAAGATCCTTTCCTTCTGCTTTGTTCCCAAGCATCATTGTTACTATTGTCCATATAGGCAGTGCACACCTAGCATGGATACAATGGCTGAACATCACTTCTCTACTACATGCAGCATAGTGTGGTTGCATTTAGCCTGGCTATAGTGTTCTGGCAGGAGCCGTTTCTCGTGCCAGGCCTAAATGGCAGGGGGGACTCCAACAGGCACTGTGTAGATTTACCCATACTGCATAAACACTGCCTTTATTATCTATGCCCCAAAGGCCTGTTTATCAGATAGACCAACACTGCATGCTTATTAATAATGCATCTGTAGACCTGGTATTGAAGTCTACCGCCCGTAAGCCTGAAATAGGCCTCCCTTTCCATATATTGCTTGACCCACAAATAGCCTGGTGGAAAACTAGGGCCTTCCTCTCCATTCTAGAGTTTGTATCAAGAGTCCCAACTGGTGTGGTAAGAGATGCCAAATTGGGCAGCTAGGAGGATATCCTTTTCTTCTGCATAGGATTTCAAAGATAACAGAGGTTTTGTCCAAGTGAATGATAAAAGAGGCTGGGGGAAATGTTAACTAAATTTCATAGTTCCTGGAAAACAAGGATCTGGCTCCATGATAATGTGTAAGTAAAAAAAAGTGAGGGAAGGTGTTCTCTTAGAGTCCCTTGGGTGCTGCTTTTGGAATAACTGAAATTAGGAGGAATTAGGATGATGTTTGGTTATTGAGCCTCCCTCCACTGTTCCTCTCAAAATTCAAGCACAGTTTTAAGACATCTCTACTTTTTTTTTACAAGCATAAAAACCCAGTGTGGGAATTGGGGCAGAAAGGATAAAATGTGGGATATTCCTTTACTGTCAGACATGAGCACTCTCTTATTTTGAAATCCCCAATTGTTTTCCAGCTAAAATTGGTATTTCAGAATCCCTTCCCAAAGATTTTTAGTTCACGCTTCAAATAGTTTAGGTAGCCCTCAACGATCACAATTGAGCCCAAAATTTATGTGGTCAAGTGAGACATTTGTTAAGTGAGTTTTGTCCTCATTTTATGACCTTTCTTGCCACAATTGTTAAGTGAATCTACTGCAGTTGGTAAATTAGTAACCCAGTTAAGTGAATCTGGCTTCCCTCTTTGCTTGTCAGAAGATTGCAAAAGGGGAACACATGACCCCGGGATTCAGCAACAGTCATAAATATGAACCAGTTGCCAAGCATCTAGATATTGATCACGTGAACATGGGGATGCTGCAAAGGTGGTAACAATGAAAAACAGTCATAAGTCACATTTTTTAGTGCCATTGTAACTTTGATCACTAAATGAACTATTGTTAAGTTGAGAATACCAGTACTTCAACTGTTCCCTTATCAGGTCTAGTCCAATTCTTAAAAAAATTCAAATTAAATGGTGCCATTTTAATCCTGCTTTCCAGATAATTTAGGGCCAAAACTGGTAAAGTCTTGAGTTTACCTCTGAATTAGTATTAGCATCAAATTTCCTTATGCTGGCTGGGAAATCCCATACATTTTTATTTTGCTGATGTTGAGAAACACTGTTGTAATTCCAGGATAATAACAAAAAAAGAACCCTTCCCACTTGAGCTCAACCACCATATGTGGATTGTAAAATCCAGATAACCACAATACTGCAGCAAGAATATTTATACTGTCATCTAATTGTTGACTGTACTACTGCAGTCCTGATAGGGTAGTTCTAAGATTGGTTTGGGAGAAATATGTGATGCTGTGGCTTCCTACAGTATTTTCACAGGTTTTAGGGTCTGTTTCCTTGGTAGTGTGATGGGTGTGATGTGAGGCTGGGGGGAATAAGCAGGAAAGACTGTTACGCAGACATGTGTTGCAAGGTGTCAGATGGACTGGAATGCAGTCAGGGAGATGCTGTGGCCACATTTCCTCTACTTAATGTTGTATATTTGACTTACGTCTGTTTTTGCTCTCTTTTTAATTAAAAACAATTCTCTGGGGTTCTGGTTCATTTTCTTGTGCTGTTCAAATAAAGTCATACTGTGTTATCTCTGTCTTGTTGATCTGTTGCATAGAAGTGAGCCTTTTGGGTGTGGGTGGGCAGAAAATATAAAATCATGCGTTTGGAAGGGGCCTTGGATGTTGTCTAGTCTATTTCCCATATCAAGCAGGAGATCTTATGCCATTTCGGCTGCCCAATTTCTTCTTGAAAACCTCCAGCAATGGAGCACCCACAACTTCAGGACACAAGCCCTTCCCCTGATTAATTGTTCTCACTGTCACGAAATTTCTGCTTAGTTCCAGGTTGGATCTCTCTTTAATGAACTTCACCTGTTACTTTTTTGTTCTGTCCTCAGGTACTTTGGAGAATACTTGATCCCCTCTTCTCTGTGACATCCCCTCAAGGACTGCAAGACAGCTGTCATGTCACCCTTAATCCTCTTTGTTAGACTAGATATCCACAACTGTTCATCATACTGTTGCCATCAAGTAATTTGGATTTTTGCATCTCAGCTAAGGTTACCCTACTCTGCACAATTAACTTTGCTAAAGGTGCAGGAAAACAGGTGTTCTCTTAACTTTTGCTATATTTATTGCACTATGAAGGTCTCTGTTGAGCTATCAGATGTGAGTTCTGAAAATCCAAACCACCATTCAATGATGAAAGAGAACTACATTTGTAGGCCTACTTTTTTGATCAAGTGGTGATCCTCCAAGACTTGCTGCAACATAACTCTAACGTAGAAATTTCAATCCTAGAAGAATTTTAGTGTTCAAAGTTAAAAGCCACTCCTCTCCTAGGAAAATGAAATATTTTAGGATATACTAAAAAGGCAAGCTATTTCCCCTAAAAAGAAAAGTAGAAACTCACGGAGGCAGAAACTCAGACACACACCCTGCCTTTGGTAATGGACCATTACTCTGGCCTGGGCCAGTCTTTTACATAACAAAGATCTACTCCAGGTAAAGCCATAATAGGAATTGCCCAAAGCCTTTTCATTACATCATCATCCAGTAAGGCTCAACCAAACCTGGGACTCAGGACAGTCTACGGCAGTGGTCTCAAAACTTGGCAACTTTAAGACTTGCGGACTTCAACTGGCTGGAGAATTCCGGGAGTTGAAGTCCACAAGCCTTAAAGTTGCCAAGTTTGGGGACCCCTGGCCTACAGATTTGCCCTTGCATGGCCCCATGGGAGCCTGACAACCAATCAGAATACAAGTTCAAATCCAAATCCCAGCAGAGGGCATAAAACCAAGGGAATCAGCATCCCTTATTTTTCTGCCCAGGAACTCATCCTGTTCATCAATAAACCATTTTTCCAAGCAGTAACCATGTTTCCAGTGTCTTTCTTCCCCACTTGGAACTGAACCCAGAAGGATAATTCTTCCAACATTTGGATTCAACTGTAATTCACCTTGCTTATTGTTCCACTGACGAATACAGAATTCTGGGAGTTGAAGTCCATAAGTCTTAAAGTTGGCAAGGTTGGGCATCCCTGATTTAACCTAAACGTAATGTGAGAGGGAGGGGTGTGTGTGTGTGTGTGTGTTTTATATAGCTGATTCTCGCGATTTTACACGAGTATGTTTTGTGCCTTTAAATTGGGGTGGGTGGGCGCAGGGAACAGGGACAACGGCGATTTGCGTTTTTGACGGCCGACAAAAAATAAAGGTCACCGACTCTGCCATTCCCTTTAATTTCTTTTTCTTTTTTTCGGTTTCACTTAAAGGGGATGCGCGCGCATGGGAAGAGAACGGTAGCCCAAGAGAAGCGGGGCGGGGAGAGCTTCCCCCAACCGCTTGTGTTCAACCGAGCGAAGGAAGCTGAAAGTTGCGAAGGGGCCGGGGGCAAAAACCTTCGTGTTAAAGTGAATGGAGAACAGGTACAGGTGAGAATCCATCCTAGAAGCGGGCACGCAGCCGTCGGACAGGCTCCGAAGTTCTGCCCAGGGATGAGTAGGAACTTCCATGTCTCTTGGCGGCGGGCGGGCGGGCGGGGGGGGGGGGGGGGGGGGGGGGGTAGAAAGAAGCCAAGGGGAAGGGGGGGCGGGCACTGAATCCAGTTTGTAGGAAAGACTGGGGGGGGGGGGAATGACTCCCTCGCTTCTGGCACCGGGCACGCAGCCAGACAAGCTTCGCGCAAAGCTTCACTCGCGCAAACCTTCGCCAGCTCCGCACTATTGTTCTCTGCGCCCTCCGATTTCAACAACCGAAGGTAACGGATTTCGGGGTGGGGAGGACGGCGCCGCTTATGCCCCTGGCAGCCGGGCTCGAACACCTGGTTTCTGTGCACGTAAAGGCGGGTTGGAGGTGGGGGGGGGGGCGCGGAGGAAGCGAAGGGGAGGAGGCGACACGGGTTCTTCGGAAAGGTTGGAGGAGACAGCTCGAATTCCTCGATTTCCCGGAAATTACGGCTTCCTTGGGAAGGTTAGGGACAGGGTCTCCTGGTGAGCAGGGTGAGGCGCTGTAACGGTAGGTTTAAGGAACTGCCGGGGAGGGGATAGGAGTTGCAATCCAATCCATTGGGATGAGGCTACTGAGATTTCCCTAAGGGAGGTCATCTCAGCCAGTTTAAGTAGCAACTGGAGGAAACTGGACATTCAAAGGCTTGTGTAGTTAAAAACAGAATCTGCCCCCCAGTGGGTTTATTTATTTGGCGTATGGCATATCATACATGGACTAGCAATATAAATTAACATTCAGTACAGCATACTATAGGACTTTCAGAGGCTCTCCTGCTGGTTCATTTTTGTGGGTTGGCAGAGAGGGAGGCTTTGTAGCTCACCGTGCTTCAACCTCTTAAGAATTGGGGCACAAGGCATAGGTCACCTCTGAGTCAGGACTGTATCCTGCTGGCTGAGAATGATAGGAATTGTAGTGCTGAGGCCAGTTGGTTTAAGGGAAGCCTAGCAGGGATTCTCAACAGGGATGCTTGGTTGTGTGAGAGATTTTTTAAACATTCATTCTGCTCAGAGCAGTGGGGTTCACACATCGCATAAGCTAATTTAAGTTTATTTATTTGGTTTTGGCATCATCCTAAATTTATCAGCCAACCCAATGATGGATGGCTGTGTTGAAATGCAAAAAGGAATTTAGTTCCTGGCAACATATAGAACACATATGTCCCAGATTTGCCTGGTGCTTTTGCTCATTATTGCTGGCTTTAGTTGAAAATTTATATTCTAGTAGCTGTTGATTTCTCCACATTGGTCAGGTTTTTATTAAAAAAAAAAAAAGATTGGGAAAAATGCCCTTGGGTTACGTTTGACTCCTGGGAGCTAAATGGGCACAACCCCACACAACCATGCAGTTTTCCAGGCAAGTGTACTTGCCATTGTGTTCTTCCAATGTGCTAACCTACAGCTCTGGGGTTCCCTGATACTCCCTCCAAGTATTAACCAGGATTAGGTCAACTTAACATCTGAACCTGGGCAAAGGTGGCAGGGCGTGGTCATTGCTTGAGCAAGATGTTTAGCCTAGACCCATTATTTTGTTACATTGGTATCTGGATCATCAGATATTAGGTGCCATTAAGTTATTTTGGGTTCCTAGCAACCACAGAGGTCTTCGCCATAGACATCCTCTGGCCTAGGTGAATGAGTACAACAGCATGCATATGAATGAGTGGGGAAATCAAATTTGGATGCCTCATTTCTTGCCAGATCAGCTTCTCTTACTCCGACCCTTTTTTTCCCTAAAATCAGGAAACGAGCCACTAGGCCTCTAGTCTCCCTATGAGTGAGTCCTGGTTTCCATTCCATTTGTTCCTGTTTGGCTCTTGCAGTTTACATGTCTCCTTTTTGCCTCCTTCAGGAGCAGATGCTGGGGACTAGCCAATGGAGATCCAGCTAGTAACAGTGAAGGAAGAGATTGGATCAGTTCTGCCCCCTGTATGCCCCCTGTGCCAGGAAGACCTGCCAAGCCTTGCTGGGCCCCACGAGCAAATTCCCCAATGCCAGGGCTGCAGAAACCTCCTTTTGGAGCCTCAGAGCTGGCTGTCCAGTAGTATCGAGGCTTTGGTGCTCCCTGTGGAGAGGCCTTACAACTGCTCTTTCTGCCCCAAACGCTTCAAGAGGGCTTCAGACCGACGTGATCATGAACGGGTGCACACTGGTGAAAGGCCGTATGAATGTGGCATCTGTGGCAAGCGCTTCACTCAGAGCTCAGTACTATCTGGCCACATGCGCATTCACACTGGCGAACGGCCTTTCCACTGCAGTGTCTGCTTTAAATCTTTCAACAACGGCTCCAACTTCCGCAAGCACCAACGCATTCACGGCCCACTGTTTGGGTACAGTGAAGGGAGAGTTGGTGAGAAGGACTGCGATTCTTTGCCTGGAAAGAAACCGGAGCAAGTGAAAGAAGGAAATGATGGCAGAAATCTAGGCCCTACTCTTCTCTTGAAGCAAAACGGCTGTCAGCCCATTGAAGAGTTAAGAGAAGGCAAGAACAAGGCTGATCAAAACCTCCAAGGGAGGCAAAGTTGCTTTTATAACGCTAGGCAAAGCCAAGACGACTGTTGCAGCAGCAGCCAAAGACAACCAGGTGATAGCATCGATACACTCAAGAGGATGGGACTGCAACAGGATGATGCCAGTCTTGGTATTAATCTTGCTACAAGGCAGGGCACCCAAGATGGTCTTAAGGCAGATGCTCTGAAGGCAACTGATCACAATGGGCATGCTGGAAACAACAATTGCCGCTATAGCCAAGAAGCCCTTCCCAATGGCCACAACTTCAAACAACAACTGCCACAGGCAAACACTGAAAATCCCACAGAAGGCTCGAGGCAGAACAGAGCAGGGGGACACCATATTCAGGAAGAACAGAAGAAAGTGGTTGACAGCTGCCCCGATAAGTTACAGCTAGAGAGTGGCAGCACCTGGGGGAAAGGCTTCTTACCAGCCGGGGACAACGGGGGCTCTGCTCACAAGCCGAACCAAGAGAGTTCTGAGATGGGCTTCGGAGTAAGGAGGCTAAATGGCCTCAGAGGCCTCAAGCAGCGCAGGGCGGGAAGTGGGGTTTCAAAGACGAGGCAGAATGGTAGAGGGGAATGCAATGCAGGGGGATTCAATGAAAGCAGAACTTTCGTTCCACAGCCAAAGGAAAACCATAGCCAGGGAGCTTCTATCAGTGGCCTTAGAGAAAGAGAGCTGATCCAGGAGAGTAGCACCCGTGGAGACTTTCAAACGTGGGCCACAGAAAAGTTGAATGTTCTCAAAGTGGAACCGTCTAAGTGGCCCAAAGATGGCATAGCCTGGGAAGATCCTGCCTCAGAAATGAGTTACTCTGAAGGCTACAGTCTGAAGGCTACAAGATCACCTTGGCAATTGGAGAATCTTGATCCACGTTCCCTATCTTGCAATGCTTGTGGACCTGAGAGAGGCCACTCTTTGCAGGATCCGCTTGGAAGCACTGCTCAGCATAGGGAAGATAAGGAGAAACCCACCCCTGGCTTTCTTTTCCCAGCTCATGAACCCTCCGATGGACATGCACTGTCTATGCTTGAATCCAAGCCGTTTTTCTGCTTTGCCTGCCCCAAACAGTTCCGCCGTGCCACAGACCTGAAAGAGCACTTGAGAGTGCACACCGGTGAAAGGCCCTTTGGCTGCAGCGTCTGTGGAAAACGGTTCACACAGAGCTCAGCCTTAACCACTCACCGGAGGCTGCACACTGGAGAGAAGCCCTTTGAATGTGCGGTCTGCTGCCGCCGTTTCAATAACTCCTCTAACTTTGCCAAACATCGTCGAATACATGGGCCAGACAGCGTGGGGTATAAGAATAAAGCAGTGGAAAAAGAGCTCTGGAAAGTAAAACCACACTGATTTTGTTTTTCAGCAGGAATTCCTACATTGAAAAGTAGAATGAAAAACCAAGGATGAAATGTGCTATTACAATGTTGATTTTTAGTTAACAATTTTCAAGACAACTCAGTGCCACCAGATATTTAGAAACTCCATTTCTATGAATACCAATCAGCAATGTTCAAAGTGGGCAATTGTGCCCCAAATCATTGGAAAGCACCAAATTGTTAGCTGGAACCTGGCATTTCATAGGCAGGCCAGTTGTATCCCACTTTCCTTGACTTACTGCTTGATAAAACCAGACACTGGAGACTGCAATCAAATTACAATTTCTGATTCTAAATTGTGAATAACCCTAGACACTTAAAATGCAAAGGCAGGAAGGAGTATGCAGGTCTGTAATGCATTTAGGTAACCCCATCCTGGGTTCGATATCAGGCTTGAATTGAGTCACAGGGATCAGAACAGTTCCAATTAATATTTGGAATCATCTAGAAATCAGTCAAAATCATGTTTTGGCATTATAGGTAGTTCTCGACTTAACAATCACAATTGGGACCAAAATTTCTGTTCAGTGAGTCATGCTCAACTTTTGCCACAGTTTTTAGGCAAATCATTGCAGTCATTAAGGGAATTTTGGGATTTTAGACAAATCTTGACTTCCTCCATTGACTTGTTGGAAGCCATCTGGGAAGGTTGCAAATGGTGATTCCATTATCATGGGATACTGCAACCATCATAAATACCAGTTTCCAAGTGCCTGCATTCTGATCACATGGCCACAGGATTGTTTGCAATGGTCATAAATGTAAATACTGATTGTAAATCACTTTCTGTGCTGTTGTAACTTTGAATGGTTGCCAAAGAAATGATTGTTAAGCGGAGGACTACCTGTTTTATTAAACCCAAGCCAACGAACATAAGCCTTAAAAGTTTGTACTAATTAATGCCTGTTGCAGTTTCTGAAGTGGGGCACAAAATGAAAAGCAGACTTGGTTAGATTTGGGGACTGCCTATGCGCTTCTTGCTAGCTCAATGGATGGTGCTCAGCCACTGTGGGTAACAGAAGATGCTGTGCAAACTCACCCAACCTAGTTAATAAATCATGGTTCTGTTAACCATAAGCTAGCATGCTATGTGAACAGAGCCATGTTTTGGTCAGATGTCTGCATTTTCCTCTTACAAGAAAAAATTTTTACCTACAAATTTAAAGTACCTGGGAAGTGAATAGTTTGTGTTGAATTTCTAAACTTACTAGCTTGGACATGAGTCCCATGGAATCAAACTGACCTTAGTTTATGTTGACATGGAATATAATTTTGCAATACATGTAGTTGTTAGAACGCACTCATTTTAATTATGACTGTATTTTCAACTTGGTATAAAATTATTTCTAAAATATATGCTGCAAAAGTTTTAAGTAAATAAAAATTTCTTACATTATGCCAATGAAGTAAACTGTGTTTGTGTGTGTGTGTGTGTGTGTGTGTGTGTACATGCATAGGGAATCTCTATTGGCAAATACCCAGTCAAAATATTTGTTGACATTATACTCTGCGCTGTACTTTTACGGTGGTGGCGCAGTAGTTAGAGTGCAGTCCTGCAGGCTACTTCTGCTGACTGCCTGCAATTTGGCAGTTCGAATTTCACCAGACTTAAGGTTGATTCAGCCTTCCATCCTTCTGAGTTCAATAATTGTAGAGCACAATATGCTGACGCTGTAAACCGCTTAGAGGACAGTAAAACACTATGAAGCGGTATATAAGTCTAAGTGCTATTGTAAATCCAAGCATTTGAGACAAAATTGTTTATATCAACACAAATGATTTACATATAAATGACTGAAAATTCTACATAAAACTGCACCTTTTAAAAAAATTAAATGGCTGTTGTTACTACCCAATTCAATTCAAATCCTCTTCCAATTCAAATTGTCTTGTCAATTTAGATACCTTTTTGTTAACGTAAGTGAAACAGCCGTTTCCAATTTTTAAATGAACTTTATAAAGCTCGATAAACTTGTTCAGATAAAATTATTTCTCAATTCTGCATTTTCTCTGTTCTTATTTAATATAAAAAATTTTTAAATGTCCATGGTAGATTGTCAACTACTTTCCACATGAATTGCAAAATGACACTGGACAATGTCAGTACTATTCTACTAGTCTCATGATGTAAAATATACCCAGAAATCCCATTTCAATCCATACCATCAAATTTTTCCGCAACCTCATCTCATCCCATTATTAATTTACAAGAACAGATGAGCATACATAAATGTTTCTAAACACGTTCTTTGCAATAAGAATGATTTTATCTAATTTAAGAATAAGGTGATGTGAAAGAAATGTATTCTCTGTGTTGTCTAAAGTTCCTCCTACCTGCAGAAGAGATTTTGAGGAAATAAAAGGATGCTCTGATTTGCTGAAGAAAGCCAAATCTACAAGAACAATAAAAGCCCTTTCTCTCTACAGTAGAGAACAAGAGATATTTGATCTATCTGGATGAATAAATGCACCTTCCTTTTATTTTTTTTACATAGAATAGCAATGATTCAAAAGCGTCTGCTATTGTTTGCTTTACTTTTTTCATTAGTTTGAGAATCATAAACCTAGTTATTCTGTGCTAATTCTAACAGTATACTCACATTGTTTGAAGGAATGTCCTCTTAACATCAGCTTGTAACACAACCTGGCTTAGCACAAACAATATCCAAATTCTTTTTTTTTAATGTTTGTTTAGTCTGTACATTGTAAATCAGACACTTTTAAAATGATTGCTTGGCTTAAAACACAAAACACACTCCGATTCCCCCACCCGACTGAGAAACACACGCTGTACAGTTCCCAAGGAGTACAATGAGGGAAGAAAGGACAGGTTATCATTTTAGGTCTATCAGCTGTGTGGACAAGAATGGGGTCCTATACATATTTTAGTACACATTATCATAGGGACATAAACCTTGGCATTAAAAGAACTGCACTTCCTGCACTCTGGCCAATGGGAAAAGGAGGGGAGGTTATTAAAAAGAAGTATTTATATAGAAATGTATGTATTTATATATCTGTATTAATATAAAAAGTCATTAGCTAACATGATTGCAATGGGATGGGTCCTATCAGTGGCATACTCTTCATTCTGAGTTTGCAATTGTTACTACTTTGGGGATGTTCTAGTCCTGTCTTAAAGACATCCATCTCCCTGTATGGGATGAGAAAGGAGAGTACAAAGACAACAGTATCAGTCAGAGAACTACAGAATCCATGGTTCTCAAAGAACAGGAGGGTTGAAGAAGTTGAGAAGATGGCTGTGTATCAGGTGGCATCTCAAAAAGCAAAATCAGGTCTGATGCCAGCAAAATATGGAATATCTTCCCTGCCCTCTGCTTCATAGTTCCAGGATGAAGCACACAAAGCCAAGTGGACGGTGGGCATCTGTAAGATATACAGCATCCTAGTGATGTACATTCAGGATTAACAATCCATCCAAGATCATATGCAAGGCAGAAGAGTACAGTGGAAAAGATGGTTGATCATTCTTGATTACATACTCCAAACCAACTGGTTCTTCAAAAGAACTCAATTTCCCAACCACAATTAAAAGCCAGACTTCACCTCAACAACCCACCATTCCCTTAAAAATTCTTCCCACTCAACTCTGTCCGTGGAATATTGCCTTCTAGCCCCTTACTCTGAACTTGACTAGAGTCCTCATACCTTCTAGATCAGCAGTTCTTAACCTTTTCTTCACCACGGACCTCCTTTAAATATATTTTGTGGCCACGAACCTCCAAGACTTAACTCAAGATTTAAATCATAACATTTCTTCAAGCCTTTGCAGACCCTCCTGTGATGACATAGTGGCCCCACAGAGATCCGCAGACCAATGGTTGAGCACCATTATTCTAGATAAAACTGGAGATTCCATGTATTTCGTCACTAATACAGTTTGAAGTGTATGAATTGCACCTGCTAACAAATCCAACAGAAGAAAGAGATTTGGACAAATCAAACGGTTCCTAGGATGAGGAATGGATGCAAATAATCCTGACAATAACAGTAATCAGGTATGTCCCTAATAACAAACACTCTGCCCATCCATTTTTTAAGTATTTAGTTTGCTAGAAAAATAGAAAAGGCAGCCATTTTGCACTCTCAGCTTCTCTTTGTCAACTATACATTGAAAGAAAAAATATATTTCCACATTTGCCATTTTCCAAACATTCAGATTTTAAGTACATGAATTATAAGAATTAGTTAAGGCCTAATTCATTTTAAGTGAGATCATAAAAATAAACATACTTGAATGATTGTCCTGTCTTTTGACTAGGAAACAGGCCACCATTCTGAATTAAGAAGCAAGACCTATGGCAGCCAAATATGTTTGCACCAATTTTGTGACTGAAGCAAGCATTCATAATCATAAAATTTATGTCCTATGTTCTAGGCCTGCCATTTTAAAGAAATTCTTTAGAAATCCTGTGTCCTTGAGAAAAAGTTTTAAATTTAGTGATTTTGGGAACACAGTATGTTCTTTGATCAACTTGTTTCTCCATTTTATATTCCATTGTCCATTTGGGAAGCTATTAGGAAGCCAGTTAACAGGAACATCATCTATTGATTAGACATGGTGAACTCACCCCCCCCCCCCCCAATGAAGGAATGGGTGATATTAACCAATAACAGCATTTCCTGTAAGAAGTACTTCCCAGTTTAGGGAGTTGTCAAGGGGGCTTCTAAATTGTATACAATTTAGAAATACCTAGTCCAGGAAAGCATGGACAGTACAAATGAGAAGGAAAACTAATACAGATAGTCCTTGACTTACAACCATTCATTTAGTGATCATTCGAATTTACAACAGTTAAAAAGGGATTTATGATCATTTCACACTTACATCATTGCAACATCCCCATGGTCACATGATCAAAATTCAGATGCTTGGCAACTGACTCATGACAGTTGTAGTGTCCCAGGATCATGTGATCACCTTTTGTGACCTCCTGCAATGGGGAAGCCAGTCACCTAACAATGTGTTACTAACACCTGCAGTGATTTAACAAACATCCGTTTCAAAAAAGGTCATAAAATGGGGCAAGACTCATTTAACAAATGTCTAACTTAGCAACAGAAATTTTGGACTCAATTGTGTTCATGAGTCAAGGACTATCTGTATTAAACTCAGTTCTATTTGCAAATTATGAAGGCAGGGAAGAAAAATTCTAAATGGGGAAAATGATTTCTGTAAAAGACAGGCTGAGGTATAACTACCACAATTCACTTGAATTTCAGTGACGAATTCAGACCTTTAACCATTTAGTAAGAAGAAAAAACAAGAAAAGGAACATCCAGTTGCAATCACTTCTGGAGATAGAAGAGGAACTGGTATATTTCAGACAGAAAAATTCTAAATGGGCACTCAAAGTGGACATGATTTGCCCCCCCCTCCCCCCCCCGTGCTCAGCCATTAACGAAATTGTCTGGAAGGCTGGAAAACATGGTCTTCTTCCCGTCTCTTTCCCCATCTTTGCACTCTTCATCATACTTCTATATTTGGTCACCGAATTCTGATGCAATTCCTCCAAGAAAGCATTGAAAATATGCCTTTCACAAATACTACCACTATCCACCCCCACCCCCTCCCAATGTGCTCACTGAACATAGAGAGTGACGGTTTGTAGGCCAAGACTTCTGGGGAAAGAGGGAGGAGGCTGCCTTAAGAAATACCTGCACTCAATAAACTCCAATTCTATTAACCACGACTGAAAAAGACTTTGGCAACTTTTCCTCTTCTAGGCACTGGACAACCAAATTTAAACAGTACATCTTTGGATCCTCACAATCACGGATTGACACTCACCAGTCTGGGAACTATGGATGTGAGCAAGTGGGTGACAGACCAAAAGCAACACCAAGTAGCACTTGGTGCAGCCACCTAGTAGAAGAGATGCTCTCACTTTGTGAGAATGGAAATGCTGAAATTACTTTCTATTGTACTGTCAGCTTGGGTTACAAGAGGGGAAGGAAGTGGGAATTATCTATGTGGTGTCCACTGTACACAAGGTTGCCTGTTTTTATAACTTTTTGGTTGCATCTAGCAAATTAGTTTCCCCTCCAGTCTATCTAAAGATGTGCTCCAGTGTTTACAATTTGCTGGAGGAGGATTGAGGAGGAAAGGTTGTTGGGGGAAGTCAGAGAGTTTGCAAGGATCTTTTTATTCATGCTTGGTCAGTATTCTCCACTTCAGGTGCAGGGAGGATCCATTCAGACTGGTGTCAAATAAGTATAAAAGGGTTTTTTTTGCATTTCTTCAGATTTGATAAGGTGCTTCGGAGTGCTTGGGGCAAAGAATACAACACCCATTGGTGACTTTTAGAGATCTCCAGCAGTCACACAATCCCTGATGTTGTGTTTGTACTTTGAAGAACCTTTCTGGAGTCAAACCTGAAGCATTATACAAGTCTAATAACCATGGAGTTACAAGGCCAGGGCAGTTAGCTCAATGAACTATGTAGATACACCATGTCTTACTAGGAATGTCTTATGGATCAAACCAGGGAATGCAGGAGAGCAGCTAAGCAGCCAAAGCATTATGCAATCCTGGTAGACCCACCAATTAAGTTTATTTTTTTCTCACAGTTTCATATCCAACTTTCAGTGGTGGGCAGAAGGAAAGCTAACATTAGGGAAGGCTAACAATGTACAGTCACAGCTCTCATTCCAAACCCACATCCCATTTTAGGGCTCAAAGTAAGGTATTATTTACACATGAGTTCATCTATATTAAGTCCAACAGATTAGGAAGAATGTTGAGCACAAAGGAAGAGAGCTAACCCAAAGGGGAAGGAGCCTAGCCTATTTTTGTATTTCCTCTCTACTCCTGATGGGCCAGCTTGAACGTTTAGAAAAAAACACAATAGAATTATCCTGGGATTTTGCTTCTTCAGGGCTGCATAATAGGACTAAAAATTCCAAATGCTTTTTTTAACATTCGGTGCTTCCTAAATGTGGAAAGTGGCATGCCAGGGAAGCTTGGCTAAAAACCTTCCGGGCTCAACTTTTCTTTTATAGGTAAAGTTTTTGTGAACCTCCAGTTGCATCATGAACTGATATTCTTCTGGAGGCAGAGATATAATAGAAATGTTATGGCACAACAGCATTTAGACAACAGGTGCCGCCACACTACTAGACAATTCAAGCAGACTCTGTTAACTTTCTACTGTCCACAGCCATGTGTCACTACCTCCCAGGTCTTAAAAAATTGAGAACTAGACTATTTTGTTTATACATATAAAGAAAGGACACTAATTAAAGTCTTTCAGAGAATGCAAGCAAGGCTTACCTAATACAGATTACATAGTTGAGTTTACACAAAAGATTGGTGGACATTCCTCAAGTGCTGAATCTTGGTCCTTCCTGTCTCATTCCCAAATTAGTGAATTGGGTCTAACATTTCTCTCTAGGTAAAGGAGTTTACAGGAAGCACCATCTCTTCTTGTGAACTGGAATGCCACATGGTTTCCATTCCAGAACATAGGCTTCAGATGAAAAAAATGTCATTCCACTATAACCTTATTTGCTCCCATTTGCTCAGAAACAGGAAGAAACTTTCATCTCCCAACACTGTGGCCATGCTTGACATGCAAAGGTCACTTCTATGATTGCTATCTCCATCTCTCTTTCCCCGGGCAATTAGTTTAAAAATCTAGAGTGGTCAAGATATTCTGTTAGAGAGCAGAAATCTAGCAAGTAACTGGTGGCTACCACTTATTAATTACATACCCTATCTTTACAATTCATTCTTGCCTCTATTTGGCTTGTCCTGCTTGTGACTTTATGGTTGATGACTCTTCCAAATTAGTGCCCAACTGGAGCATCTCACTGCCAACAAGCACGTCTTATTTTCTATATATGGAAATGCCTTGCCATCGTGGCTCACAGAAACCTGGAACTAGCTTCACATCTCATCCTACAGTACCAAGATACGGACCACCCTTTTTTTTTTCTGTTGCTATTATTCAAACATTAGGGCTGTTCCTTATGGGCCCCCATGGCAGCAAAGCGCTCCATCTTGTGAATGTGGCGGTGCTTTTTGAGGCCATAAGTATTGGAGAAGGCTTCTCCGCAGGTGCTGCATTTGAAGGGCCGTCCTCCTTGATGGGCCTGGAGGTGTTTGCTAAAATACTTGGGGTCTTTGAAGAGCTTAAGGCAGGCCCCACATCTTAATTCACGCTTAGCATCATGGGAGCGTTGGTGACGCAGAATGGATGACAGATAGAAGAAGCTCTTAGAGCAGCGGTCACAGCGGTAGACTTTCTCTCCCAGGTGGACCCGCTGGTGTTCCAAAAGGTTGCTACGGTAGCGGAAGGTCTTGCCACAAGTAGGGCAACGCTGAGGCCGGGCAACTACGTGAAGACGCTGGTGTTCTGCCAGACTGGATGACTGGGCAAAGCGCTTGTTGCAGAGGGCACACTTGTAAGCACGCTCACCCGTGTGAACCACTTTGTGTTGACGCAGGTACCAAGACCGCAGAAATCCACGCCCACAGACAGCACAGCGGTACGGGCGCTCCTCGGTGTGGCAGCGCTGGTGACGCATGAGAAGGGCAGCCTCCCAGAAGCGCTTGCCACAGACTGGACAAGAGAAGTGCCGCTTTTGCAAGTGTGTGCGGCGATGCAACAGCAAGTCATAAGCTCCAGCAAAACTCTGTCCACAGACCGAGCAGGCCAATGTGCGACGCACCAGATGCACATACTTGTGAGTCACAAGTCCCAGGAAATGCTTGAAGGTCTGGCCACAGATAGAGCAGGAGAAACGTTCTCCACTCGGTAAAGTCGGATGATCTTCATAAGATGATATGTTCTCACCACTAGCTAGTCCATTCTCTAGTGGGGCGACAGCAGCTGCCGTTTCATCTGGTGGTACAAGTCTCTCAGGAGCAGCTTGGTGGACAAGCTTATGCCACATCAGATTCTCAATGAAACCAAAACATTTGCCACAGACATCACAAGGGTAGGGCTTTTCAGCCACATGGACCTCCTTGTGGCTCATGACATGAAAAAGATCAGGAAAGCGCTCTCCACAGTCAGAACAGCCATAAGTTAGTCCCTCGGGGGGTGGAGGGAGAGAAGGGCCCATGGGGGTCAGGGAGGGCCCCATGGGTGGTAAAGAGCAAGGTAGCTGTAATCGGTGAATCTGTTTGTGCCGCGTTAAGCTTTGGGGGTAACCAAACACTTTCCCACATATTTCACATTTGTATGGCCTCTCCCGAGTATGCACTACATGGTGTTTGCTGAGGTGAAAAGATTCACGGAAACGCTTCCCGCACACTGCACACTGGTGAGGCTTCTCACCCGTGTGGATCCGCTCATGACGCTTTAGTGTCTCCCGTCGCCCAAATCCACGGCCACAGATCCCACAGCAGAAATTCTTGCCTGCTGCTGTCCCCACCAGCAAGGGGTGGGCACCCAAGAGACCATAAGATGTTGGCTTGGTATCTCCCTCAGAGCCTGTGCCTTGTGGGTCTTGTGGAAGGAGGTAGGCCCCTGGTGGCAGATAAGGCAAGGTATTAGTGCCATCTTTGGACAGCTGGGCACCTTCATGTTGGAGCTGCCGATGACGTAGTAAATTCTGGGGAGCTACATAGCCCTTGCCGCAAATGTCACATTTGTACTCAGGTCGTGGAGGTAAAGTTCCAGGAGGAGCGTGAGTGGCCTGGTGCTTGAGGAGGTAGGAGGCATCCCGGAATTCTTTGCCACAAACCCCACACTGCACTCGCAACAGATCTGAGTGTGTCCGCACGTGTCGTTTTAAGCTCTCACGGCGATTAAAACTCTTCTGGCAGATGGAACAGGAAAATGGCTTCTCACCAGTATGGATAATCTGATGCTGGTGAAGGTGACTTGGCTTTTTAAACACTTTCCAGCACAGAGAGCAGGTAAAAGGACCTTCGGCTTGAGCTATGGCAGCACTGAGGGCAGATGTGGCTGCGCCTCCAGATGGTGTAGCAACTGACTGAGGGTTGCCGCTTTGGGTAGGAGGCTGTGCTGTTCCCTCAGCACCAGGTGCTGCTGTTATGCTCGCGGCAGCAGCAGCGGCAGCAGCAGCAGCAACCACATTGGCAGCTGCTACATTGGCGGCCGCAGCGTTGGCAGCTGCTGCATTAACAACTGCTGCGTTAGCAGCAGCAGTAGCATCCTCAGCATCTTTGTGACAACGGCGATGCCGGATGAGGCTGGAGATATGGTTATAGGTACGACCACAGGTGGTGCATTCATATGGCCGTTCGCCTGTGTGCACCAACATGTGTTGCACAAGATGGGATGACTGCTTGAATGACTTCTGGCATACACCGCATGGGAAGCGCCGATCAATGAAGTATTTCAGTCGACGGAAATAGTTCTTATCGTCTTTGCCTGCCTGACTGTCAGGAGCTACCGTGGCTGCAGCTGATGGGGGAGCCTGCCCACGTTTCAGGCTGCTGAAGAGATGCTGGTGGCCAGAAAGGTCTACTATGCCCCACTGGGGAGTGTTGTAAGCAGCAGCAGCAGCGGCTGCTGCTGCTGTACTGTCAAAAAGAGGCTGACCTGCTGTTGGTACCACAGCTGGAGTACTGTATGGTGGTTGCTGCTGCTGCTGTTGCTGCTGGGGGGGTGGAGGTGGTGCAGGGCCCCCTGGTTCAGCTTTCTTGACTTGAATGGTACCTGATGAGGTAGCTGAGGAAGAAGAGGATGGGCCCTCAGCTTTGGGTTTAGGTGTGCCAATAGTGGCAGGGACACGGTCAAAGTGAGCAGGTGGACCAGCTGTTGGTGGTTGGGCATATTCATACTGTGGCTGTGGGCAAGGGAGGGCAGCAACAGCTTTGGCGTGTTCGTGGTTGTAGGCCTCCATAGGTTCAAAGCGCTGGTGGTTCAGGAACTCCAAGAAGTCAAAAGGGTAGCTCTGGAAATGCACACCCTCATCGCTTGCTGCATTGGCTTCCATCTCCACCCGGGAGGGGGCACTGCCTAGAGAAAGGGGAGAAAGACTATAGCAATACGTATACGGGATACAGGTTATCCACATCAGCAACTGCACAGTGGCATGGTGTGTTTTCTTGTAATGTCAGAGACACAGTGAAAGAAAATTTAATAGACCTAATTTATTGTCCATCAAAAGATAATTTGGCTGACCTCATGATAAAGCTAATGAATATATAGAAACACAAGTATCTTGTGAAATAATCTGATTTAAATGCTGTCCAACTATACATTGGAGGATGTTAAATTATTTAAAAATTTATAGCTGGAGCAGTGAACTGTTTGACCAAGAGTAAGAACACACAGTTATAGGTAATTGGTTAAAGAGAGCTAGACATCACGAGGGAATCTGAGCTATAATTGGAGCAATTGGAGTAAAGGGGGAGTTTTCTAGTTTTCCGCCTTTTTCCTCTGTGTGCTATGTATGCTCTCTTTAATTTACCTCATAATGTACCTGCTGTGTTGATTGATCTGGTGTTTGCCTATCTTATTTACTGTAAATATATTTATTTATGTTGAACTGCATGTTCGTCTCAGCGTCTGACTCCATTTGGACACTGGGTACACAATTCCCTGATAGTTTCCTTAAGAAAATTCATTATCTATTTGTCCCATGCAAATAATTGGGAATCCAAAATTATAAACGTATGCATCCATTTAAAAGGTTACCATTGTAGTATATTACTGATACCCATTTATACAGTATGGTGATTTTTATCATTTGTTTGTAGTATACTTAGATGTAAGTGCACACTAAATAATTTTTAAAAAAAAAAATGAAGTACCAATAGTGGAATACAAAACTTGTTCTGTCAATTATTTGAATTAGAAAATGTTAGCTGAAAAAATGTTAAAGAAATTCCTGTGGAACCTAAGGAATTAAAACAAATATCACCACATAAGTTTCATAGATCATACTTGTGAAGCTAATTTTACTGTATGTTTTTTATCTCACAAGATACTTCATAAATATCTTCACAATTATATATATTTCTCCTTTTTTCCAAGCTCATGTAAAATATTAGAAAAATGGACTAGAACAGCATGAAAGAATTACATTTTAATTTAATATTTTGCTGTCTTAAAAGAAAGGTATTAATCCATCTAATTTCAATTTTAGATGTGACCTCAGCCTTTTTCCCCAAAGGTCTTGCTTAGTTACCAAGAATGATGAGAATGGCAGCCCAAAAACTTCTGGAACATCTTGCTCACTCATGAAGCAGAAGTTTAATATAGGTAATGCACTAAACAAATGATTCAAAGGTAGCCATGGAAAACTGGAAAAGACGCAGAGGGCTCATTTAGAGATTTCAGAAACCTATGTCTCCTATTTCCCATTGTTGCTGTCTACAGTGTGTCCTGCAAACAGCATCTTTCTATAAGAGGAATAACAGAACTGCAGTCCTACATATAGACAGCTCCATTTTAAAAAGCTGAGGTCTACTGATTTTAATTACATTTGTTTAAAGATATACTTAAAGTGGCATTCCTGAAAGCTCTACCATCCCAGGAGGTTTATTAGCATTGTATGCCTTTAAACCAAGTCCTCTTTATACTACCTATTAAATGATTTCTATGACAGTTAACAATGATCACAAATGAATACAGTCAATTATACAAAATAGTATATTTGCCTATTGATGGGCAGAAAAGTGTTGCCTTTTCAAGATTGGTTCCTATTAAAAGCAGTTTTGCCGAATATAGTATTGTCAAATATACTAGGTTAGCAAATCAAAATCCAGTTCAATTTTGGACATCACGAGTATATAGAGGACTGTGGCAACAATCCAAGACAAAGGGATTCCATAAAGATATTACACATCCTAGGTATGCATTGAAGACTTTAACTACGGGAAAAACAAATTACAATTTGATTAAATGGGCTGTACAATACTTTGCATTTGATTTCAAAATAGTGTTCCACTATATCTATCTGCAACTCTTTTAAAAGCAATTACCTTTTTTCCAGGAATCAATTATAGCTCCAGAGAGCAGCAATGCAAACCAGGAAAGGTGCAGATAAGTTCTATATTCTTGCTTCTAAGTATTTTCTGCAAATAATTTCTAAAAAGTTCCTCAATATTAAGTGAACTTTTTCAACTGTTGTATTTGTCCATGAATTGAATGGCATACGATTATTTCTTACATTTCTAAGCTAGTACACAAATGATTCTCTTGCTCCATGGACAAAATGTATCATGTTAGTATTAATTTGGTAAGTCATTGCCATCTTCACTCATATTTGTTAGCCTTAGGATATAAAAGAAGTATTTTTCTTTGGGAAAAGGTTTAGGAGAAGTAAATAAATATGAAATATAATAAAGTTATTAGAAAAAAATGCCTTGTGTCATTTACATGGACCAAGCACAAAAAAAGCCATGGCCTACAGTAGCATCACACATATCTGTGTTCTCCCCATTTACACATACTGGTATGCTGTATTTCTTCATATATATAGAAAACATACTTCCTATGTGTGCATGCAATAAGTGGCATGCATAGATGTTGTCACATGCAGTTATTTACGTGGGGTTTTCATGCTTCTTCGGTACATGAATAGCTTGATCTGTGAGCTAGATGGAAATATCTGCCAAAAAAGAGAGAGCCAGGCAAAACAATAGGATAGATTACACAGCCCAATGAAAAGTTGGAGTAAAAAGGTGAAGGTTATCTACTTTGCCTTGCTCAATGATTCACCTTCAATACTTTTTTCAGTTAATTGTATTTAATTTAAACTTTATTGTAAGTTATGTCCAGGGCTTATATAAATAGAAAGGAGGGCTATAAATTTTAATTTAACTTAACTTCTATTTATTAAGTCTCAGGAAATTAAGGTGCCAAATTATCACTTTCTTTACCCTTTTCTGCACAATGAAAAACAAGAGGTTGGAAAATGTTGTCATCCAGCTCCACCCCACTTTATCAACATGAATAAATTAATCACATTTTTTTCTATTTTAGCAAGTGCACTGAGGTATAATGCAACCGATGAAAGTTTGGGAATCAATCCCTAGGATTCTCAGATAGAAAAGTATGTAGAGTGAGTAAAGGCCACTTTCCTGAAAGGGAGTCTTCTACTACAAACATCTTTGTTTAATGTCAAAAAGGCAAAAAAGTAAAGTACCTAATGTGCCATACATTAATATTGATATTAGTAACAGTGTGATTCAATGATTAAGGAATTGGACTGACATCAAGTTCAAGTTTGGTCTAAGTCAAATCTACTAGAGCAGTGGTCTGAGGAAGGAATGCCATGTACAACTGGTTTCCTGTGAGGTATAAATCAAATAAATAAATTATATGATCCCTCATTAGGAAAAAAATTAGGTTTATATTAATTATATGGACCCAGTGAAGTCAGCTTGGAAACAACAAAATATAGGTAGTCCTTGACTTATGACCACAATTTCCATTGTTAAATGAGACAGTTGTTAAGTGAATTTTGTCCCATTTATGACTTTTCTTGCCATAGTTATTAAGTGAATCACTGCAGTTATTTAGTTAGTAGTACACTTGTTAAGTGAATCTGGCTTCTCCATTGATGGCTTGTTGAAGCTCACAAAAGGTGATCACAGGACCCCTGGACACTGCAACCATCATAAATATGAGTCAGTTGCCAAGTATTTGAATTTTGATTGTGACCATGGGGATGCTGCAATGGTTTGTGAAAAATTTGTCACAAGTCATTTTTTCCACTGCCGTTGTAACTTCAAATGGTCACTAAATGAACTGCTGTAGGTCAAGGACTACCCGTAGTAAGAAAAGATGCCAAGAAGCATTGTGAAGAGATACCTTTTCCCCCGCAGGGCAAAATACATTTTTAAAGTAAAAAAGTAAATTCTTCACTATTGATCAATTCAAATTGAGCCAAAATTATCTTTTAAAAGAGACTATCTGTCTGAAGATATGAAAATACAATGTAGCTAACAAGTTAATGAAGAGTAACTTAACAATACATTCATGTGCACACTGCATCCTGCAACAGAAAGCATACATACTGAGAAGGAAATTAATACTGTATAGAGGCCAAGAGGCTCAATCAAATTTCCAGTGATGAATGCTTGTACTCCTTATTGCTCCTGTTTTGTTCTACAGGTAAAAAAATCTGTATCAACATATTTCTTATAAACAAACCAACCAACAGTAGGTTGGAGGTTTTCAAAGCAAAATTGCACCACCTTTTATTAAGAAATGCCTGAGGTAAAACAACATGAATAATTTTTTTCCTAAAATGCTGCAGAGATATTCCCTGTAGTAGGTACATCAAGGTCTAAGAAAGTTGCCTTTAAAAGTACACATAGCCTACAGTAACACCATGCAAAAAAGGGTAAGAGGAATGTAGAGTATTTTAGCTAAACAGTAAACAGTAAATGAGAACTTCTTGCATACAGCAATGTAAGACAGAGTAAATCTAGTTAGTAAAACCAAAAAAATGCAATGTACTTATGTATTTTCCTGACACTAAGATATGTAAAAAGACATTAAAGTCTACAATCTGTTACAAAGCAGAAAGAATATGAAATATTCTTTTCAATAACAAAGATAAAGTGGGCAGGAAAATTAAGGCTAATATAATATTGCAAGAGTGTCTTATGGGCTGATTAGAGAGGGATACCATCCTGCAATCTGTTACTGAAATATCCAAACTAGGGAGGTGCTGCTATCTTCATAACTTGGCTTGTGAAGGACGCCCATCTGAAGAATCAATGCCATTGCAGAAACAGGAAACCTTAGCTTTGTTGCCTTGAATTATATTTAAGTGCAAATCCATTCATTCCTAGGAACCGTAATATTTATGGGAGTTGCAATCCAATACATCCAAGCATTAAGATGGAGAGAGCTGCTATGGACAGAAGTAATTTTGTTAGACCCAAGATCCAATTAGATAGAAGGCATCATCCTACATTCCTAGAAATTTTAAGGCAGACAATTAAAAAAAAGGTGGAGTTGAGATAACATTTGAGGCAAGTAGCAAAATGGCAACTTTCTGGCTGAAAAGGAGACTGACTGTACAATACGTTTACAGGCTGGATGAAGGTATACGGAAAATATTTATTTTATGGGAAAGAATGTGGAATCTGGCTCTCTTTTCGATGTCTACGGCCGACAACCCTGACGGGACTCTGCGTGGCTTAAGGATGAAATGGGAGGACAGTAGTTCATTGAGCTCACGGGGCGGCACGGGGTTGACCTAGCCCAGATAAAGGATCAGAGCACAACTTTCGCGGGGTCGATGGGGAGAGATAACGACAAAGCGCGAGCTTCGGTTCGGGGGCCAGCTCTTGAGATGCACGACGGGGAAAGGGCGCCAGGCTGGAAAGCCGCGTGTGCTGGAGGGGGAGGTGAGTCGGGATCGCGGAATAGCCGGGGTGGGGCTGTTCAAACGGAGCGGAAGTTAACCAAAGCCGCGCGCTGCGGTTGTTATCTGTGCGAGGGTTTTTACCTCGCCTTCGGGATCACGTACGGAGAGGGGGGGAACCGAGGGGCCAGAGTGGGCTCCATGGTGGCACTCACCGGTGTGTGGCGCTGCCCCAGCCTCCTCCGCGCCCCAGGCAGGGGCTGGTCCTTGGATAGCAAGATATAGAGTGGGGGGATGCCCCCTGGCCCTTCCCTTACCCCCTGGATACGCGGGGGGGGCGTTTCTGCTCCCTCACGGGTGGGGGCAGGGGGGGCCCACTGCCAGGCTGCAACTCACACAGGCCCAGCCGGAACCGGAAGTTTCCCTCCCCGACTAAGAACACCGTTTCCTGCTCCCCCACTTCGCACCCACAGGCCTTTGCGAATTTCATTCCTTTCCCTCCCCCCCCTCCCCTACTCCGCCTTCTTCGTTTCCCAGAGCCCCACGCGCTTGCCCACTTCACCCCCTCCTCGGGGCTTCTGAGACGTCGCGAGAGCTGGAAGATCTTCGCGGTTGCCTTCCTCCTTTTTTAAAAAAAATTATTTATTTATTTTTTGGAAAGAGGAGGGCGCCAATCGGGGGCGGCACATGCAGAGAGGGAGCAAGCCTTGCAGCCCGCTTAAGCGTTGTCGGCGGGTCGGTACAAATGTGTGCCAGCTGCTAGCTTTCCTTCTGGGCTTTAAAAGTAGATTGACAGGGAGAAATCTCAATAGGTACAGCTTTTTTTTAATTTGGATCATGGCATGGAAATAAAGGAATGATTAACTGCTAGTTCTGTAACTCTGTCCTGAGGATAGTTGTGGTCTAAAATTACGGGGCCGCGCATTAAATAGCTGGGAGCACGACTGTTTCAGCTTGTGTCTGAGCCACTGAGAGCTGTGTTATCTTAATACCATCACCACCTTATTACTGTAATTATTTCCTAATAAATACTGTTGGAACAGTTTACTGCCAAATAGGTAAATTAATTACATTCTTCCTTTTGGCACAACTAAAAGGTATAGCAAAAGTGATGGGAAATAAATAAAAATGTTTAGAAAGCAATAGATTGGAAAAGATTACACAGTAAGCACAATGGGATGTGTAGCACATAACACAGTAGGACAGTGTTTCTTAAAGTATGATCCTAAGGTTCCTGGAGGTCATCAAGTCCCTCTTGGGAGTCAGGCAATCAAAATTATTTGTTGGCCTAGACCAGTGAATGCATCATTTTTTAAAAATTAACATGGTAAATATCAATAAATAATTCATAAACATTGCAGCAGAGTATAGAATAGTTTTCAAATTGATAAGATATATAAAATGTATTCTCAAACATAGCAGCTACTCTTCAGTGTCCACATTCAAACTCTGGAGCCAATTTTTTTATTTGGTAGGTTGGGCAGAGAAGTTATCGTTCCA